GGGAACAACAATAACAAATCAAAATGACACTCATGAGAAAGTTAGGAGGAGATTAATTTTCTGGAAATGCTTGCTACTTATCAGTTCAAAATATTTTGGCTTCCCGTCCGATTTCTAAGAACCTGAAAATTAAAGTATACAAAACAATAATCTTGCCGGTTGTTTTGTATGGGTGTGAAACATGGTCTCTCACTCAGAGGGAGGAACATAGATTGGAGGTGTTTGAGAATAGGGTGTTGAGGAGGATATTTGGGCCTAGGAGAGAAGACGATGGGACATGGAGAAAACTGCATAATGATGAGCTTAGAAATCTGTACTCCTCCCCCAATATTGTCAGGTTGATTAAGTCGAGAAGAATGAGATGGGCGGGGTATGTAGCATGCATGGATGGGACAAGAGGTGTACACCAGGTATTGGTTGGGAAGCCGGAGGGGAAGAGACTGCTGGGGAGACCTAGACATAGATGGGATGATAATGTCAGTCGGGCTCTATTGGAGATAGGAGTTGAAAGAGACTGGATTTTGTTGGCCCAGGACAGGGTCCGGTGGAGGGCTTTGGTGAGTTCGGTGATGAACCTTCGGGTTCGGTAAGCCATCTAGTTAGTTAGTTGGTGTATTCTCTTATTTGGTACATAATTCTCAGGAGACACATTTCTAAATGTTTCATAAACAGCAGCAAACAATTCTGATGGAAATTTATGTTCAAGAATGAACACACATCATGCTCATGTTCACACTTGCACAGCTTTTGTAAAAGTGGCATGAGCAGTGGCCTAGTAACAAATGTGACCTGGACTCAAATGTGTCAGTGAAGGCTGGGAGATTCTGTTATATAGGATGGACCTGTTCTGATTTTATGTTGCTCCCTACTACATAATTGTTGGGTAGCATTTTAAGTGATACATCCCTTGCAAGAAGCAAAAGCAACACAATTTCTTTGTTTATAAATTAATAATCACTTACATTTTAGAAGGCATGTGGTACCCATTCTGCTGAAATTATTGTAGCATGTTTCACAATAAAGTCATGTTTATTTCTATATAGTAAAGAAATGTTAAAAACTGTGCTTTTCATACTTCCACTCAATCATGAGACACAGTGTAACACTTTGGCACACTTTGTATGACAGTAATAAAATGTTTCATCTAGAAAAGACAATTATTAGATCATGGCAGGAGCTCAGAAAAGAATATCATGTAGTAGAGTTCCATGTACTCTGTCTAGCCAGTTAATATTTATTTGCTCTATTAATGGGATATGGGGGGTTCACTCTGTGGTGAAAATGTACATGTTTGTAATGTCATATGGATTTCTATGTAGATACCAACATTCTGGAGGAACACACAACATTAGAATATAAGAGAACAGAATACAACCCAGAGGACTATCATGGGGTCTAATAACATTTACAATTTATAACAGAAATATTTCATGCAACGTCACAAGTTTATGCAGTCATTATGGAACACAAACATAATCAAGCAGGAAAAATTACATCTCTTCTACCCCTATTTCTGTCATGTAGCCCAAGCACAGAGTTACTTCACATCTACTGCATTGAAGAGATGCACGTATGCTAACATCACTGGTGACAGAAGGTGGGCTGCTGATCTTACTATCTACAGAATAAAGTTTACTATGCTGAAACAAAACTAGAGCTAAAATCTGCCCTTAAAAATTAAATGTTTATTCACTAACAGTTAACAATTTAAATATATAACATTAAATGAGCTGTCACAGTAGCCGCGTGGTCTGATGTGTGGGCCTTGTGCCGCTTGGTCACTGGGACCGTGGGTCCAAATCCCACTCAAGGCACGGATGTTTGATGTCTGTGTTGTGCTCTCCTGTGTACAGGTAGAGTCCTTGCGACAGGCTGATCACTCATCCAAGGAGTCCTACCGACTGTCTAAGGGTGGCCACACACGCTCCGGCTTGCCGGAAGGCCTGCCTTCCAAGTTAAAGTCTGAAGGTAAGTCTCAAACCTCTGAGAGTCCACACACGTAAAGACTTTTTTGGCAGGTTTGTGCTCAGTCTTTTTTTTTTTCAGTCGATGCTACAACATGTTCAGTGAAGACAATGCAATTTTAATCGGTTTTGCTGTTACTTTAATGTTGAAAAAGAAAAGAAAGTTGAAACGTTCTAAGTGGGTCAGAAGTTGGTTAGATGGATCAAAACATTCTCATATAAATTTGTTGAATGAAATTCAATTAGAGCCGACAGATTGGCATAACTACCTGCGAATGGGTGAGGACACATATGGAACTGTTAAACTTAGTTTAACTTAGTTAAGTTCTTGGTGGTTGGTTGAGATGACTAAATGCTACAAGCCTTGCCTTTACCCTCGTCTCTGCCCATGCACGTTACAACTTGTAAACATTCAGCAAACCTCGAGGCAAGAAATCAAGCGACTGCAGATTTATTGGAGGCTTGGTTTCCGGCCAAATTCACCACACACGCTCTGGTTTGCCTTCAGAGATGTAAGCCTTCCAGTAAGCCAGAGCATGCGGCCACCCTAATAGATCAAAACAAACGGAAAGTTGGGACCCGCAGATACTTAAGGCACTGAAGAATGGATCACCTAAGTATCCTAAGTAAGTAACATTAAATGAATTCCTTTTGACCTTCCACTCTGTTGATTAATTGGTATGACTAAAGTAACAGAGTATAATCACGTCTGACCTATTAGTGAACTAAGTGTATGGAATTTTAAGTGCAAAGTTATTAATTAGTATATGAATTTGGTAATAAGAGTATAGTGTAATTTTGGCTATTTTTTTATCATAGCACATTAATAAACTGTCTCACCCTTTTTACAATAGGCACTCTTCTGAAGGTACTTTCCCCTACAGATATACCCCATATACCCAGATTTGCCAATGGATGTATTGAGAAAATAAAGATTCCAGATCAAATTTGATCTGCCTGTATATATTATGTACACTGAACATTATTACCAAGTGATTAAGCTTTTGCTTAGTATTCAAAAGGTTCCACTTTCAAATCTGTTTTGAGACTGGCCATTCTGACTAAGATTTTCAGTTTCAGCTGTTTTCCTCAGTTCATGAAGGCAAAAGGTAGGTCATGATCACTTCTATATCCTTTGAAATTCACCAGTCATTTGATGCAACATAGTCTGAATTACTCATAGTGTCATTAGCCCATAAATGAATGACATTATGTACTTATCAACAGCATAATTTATGTGATTGGGTCATTACAATATGAATGTAATGTGGCGTTACACTTTGACTTGTACAACCAAGTATGAAAATCATAACTTAATTCCTTTCATCTTATCATATATTTCTCACTGAAGGCATAGAATAGTAATTGCTTCATACCTGGTCCCTGTAATCCTAGACTACAACATACTTGAGATTAGACTCAGTCGTTGCTAATTAATTGCTTAAACACTACAATTTTGTTGGGGCTGAAATCCTCCCTTAGGAAGTAACAACCCCTTTCTTGAAAAAGTTCAAAAGAGTTATAGTTGTCCACGTCGTACGTTTTGGACTTCAAGCTTCGACACTAGTCTATTGTAAATGTGATACTGTCTACGAGCACCAACAGAATAATGTCATGGAAATATTCCACATTATAAAACATTATTGTCGTTCCTAATTATTTTAATAAATAGTATTTATTTCCAGATTATTGTGTAAACATCATGCAACCAAACAGCTGTTATCACATGAAATTTGGTTTAACGTACCGTAGCCTGTGTTGTTACCAACCACAGGAAACAAAGTTGTGCTATCGATAAGTGTTATGGTCAGAGATAACTATCAAAACAATTTGCAAAAAATACAAAGAAAGTACTTAAGGAAAGCTTAATCTTCAGGTATGCACGTCAGTTAACTAACAATTGATTAAAATTAGATGGCCTATAGATGTCCAAGAATAGTTTTAAAAATTAAAATTTTCCAGCATTTATGTTTTGTGTATCACTGCATATTCATGATATGACGGGGGATGGGATTAACGTGGAAGAAACCACGTGGAGATGAATATAAAGATGACTATCTTCTGGGATTCTCAGCTTTTCGCGAATGGAGAATGTACAATGTATGCATTTCATTTAAGTCAGTACATATCAATAATAAATTAAAAGTATACATTTTTATGTTGTTCATATGGTACATACCTTCATAATTGTAGCATTATCCCCATCTTCGTCATTGATGCAGCTGCTCATTCAAATCCTAATCAGGACGCGACTTTTTTGTCATGTGTAATTTCGTCGTCGCATCTTCTTTAGACGTAATTAGCCTTGGATCTGTGAATTATAAAAGATCTGTCCCGTGTATTATTCCACTCATCAGAGAGGTACCACATGTGAGACAAGGAATAGTTTCACGTATTTATTAAGAGTTGCACCGGAACAAATAGGCCTATTACATTGAAGATGTCTGTTTTCTGAAATACTGCATCGTGCTCACGTAGAAGACATCGATATTCATACATGTCGCCATAAGAAGCTGAAATGCCACCAAATACTACAACTTGCAGCGTAAACCCCAAACCCCGTGCATAATTGAGTAATTTTCAGTATATGAAGTTAGGTGCGACTGAACTACATAGCAGTTTAACATATTTCATAGTAGGTGGCGTTCGTGCTCTTTTGTTGTCAAACGCCTGAGGCACGATAAGTTCAAAATGGCTTGTTTTGGTATTATGTTTTTGACAGAAATGTATTGTGACATTTTTAGGTAAAATATATGAAAGAACATCGACGTTCAGGTTGTTGTAACTCTTGAAATGTGTCTTGTGAGACAGGTGACAAATATAGGGATGAGAGCGGAAAGTGATCTAAGTATGGGGTCATCATTCCTGCAGCTGGTCAACCTAACCATCTTGGAAGTTAAATTTAAAATGATATTACGTAATGTAGGTAATGTTGGAGTTCTTTGTACAGTGCATTATTAAGACATGAGGATACTTACGTCATGATACTTACTTTCCATCTAACCAAAGAATATAAAAGATGTGACCTTGGACTAATTTAGTAAGACCTGGATTCTTGAACTCCAAAAATGCATCCAATTCGGCGTCGAAAAAAGCGTCCGAATTACGGAGTTCGAACAGTTGAAGTTAGTCGAGGAAAGAATGGGTTTGGTTTCACAATATCTGGGCAGCACCCGTGTATTCTGAGTTGCATTGTTGCTGGAAGTCCAGCCGAGAAGGCAGGCCTTCGACCAGGTGATTATTTGGTGGCTGTAAATGGGCAAAGTGTAAGTAAAGTTCCACATGATGATGTAGTACGTCTAATTGGGTGCTCCTCTGGAGTGCTGAAGTTGCAAATAGCAGAGAATTACTATTCAGATAGTTCAGATGAAGATGCCATCATCCCAGCCAGACCTAAACCAAAGTATATGCACAAGCCACGAAATGGAGGACAAAACCAACGCTCAACAGCTATTGCACAACAGAGCAGAGGGACAAAGATTGTCAGGGTTCTTCGAACTGGAGCCATGTTTGAAGAGCAGCCAGTTGAATCATCTGCTATATTGCAGAGCCCTGGAAAATCCAAACCTCCCTTGCCACAGCATTGGGAACCTCCACTCCCACCTCCACGTCTTTACCCACTTTCCCAGACTGAGAAACCATGTGAACCTGATAGGGACAAAGTGGAATACAGAGCCCTAGTTGGATACCTTGGGACAATAGAGATGCCGAAAGAATTACTGCCAGGCTCTAGGTTGCAAGTAGTTCGCAGTTGTATCAAACGTCTGCGCACAGAGAAACGTGCGCATACATTGGTGCTAATGAGTGTCTATACACGCAGTCTTACTTTGACAAATTGTCACAAAGTGACATTAGCAGAATATCCCAGTGATCGAGTGACATTTTGTGGAACTAGTTCAGATGAGGAACGACGGTTTTTTGGTATAATTACCACAGCAGTTAGACCAGTGGAAGATGACAATGATGGTGGGGAGTTAGTCCATTCCAGTTCTTGTCATGTGTTTGCCATTGAATTGCGCTTGCATGGAAGTCACGGTGAGCATGCAGCAAAAGCAGATGCGTTCAAGCTCCATTGCAATGTAGATGCCACGACTGGGTTCTGTAGTGAGTTCCCAAGCTCATCAGATCCAATTGTGTCTGCCATAAAGGTTCTGTACAGTAGTCAGGAGACTGGGCCAGCAGGAAATCGTGATGTGGAAGAGCCATTAGTTGCCAACTCTCCTCAGCCTAGTAATGCCAGCAGTACAGCTACAACAGCGTCTAGTAATAGTGACTCGGGGATTGGTTTTCGAGATGACTGTGGCAACCAGTCTGATCGCATTCTTGTGGTGGATGTTCAGAACCAGAGACTCCATATTCAACAGATGGTTAACGACAATCATGAAACACAGCAAAGTCATATAAGTGGGGTACATCAACCGAAATCATGTGTGTATGAGCTTGCAGGTTCAGCTAATAGCAGCAGGTTAGCAAAACATCCTGATGATAGACTGACTGTGCGTGTGATGCCTGATCCAGTGATGAATCTTTCTGGTGCTCTAGCTGTGAGCAATCGTAGCAGATCTCCTCTCAGTAGCGCCTCTAGTGAAGATAATGGTCAGGAACAGAAAACAAATCCTCATATTGAGATGTACTCGGAGCGAGCTGTGGATGTGCCAGTTTACGACTTCTCCAATTATCATGGAGGGACAGTGCTGGGTAACAGTATGACTGCGAGATCTAACGATGACATGAGCATAAGTAGTGGAACCAATAAGAGCCAAGACCAACTGAATTTAACATATAAGAATAAGTACAAAGATTTTATGACCAACAAAACAGTTTCTCAATCTTTTTCTGCTAACTTCCAAGAAAAATCTGCAAATGGTGCAAATTTCAAGTTTCCAAGTTTTTCTGGCGTTATTAAGAGTGTCAAGTCAGTAGATGCTATGAGTGTGGGCAGTGGGCAGTCCCATGATATGCTCCTTTCCTGCAAATTGAGTCCTAAAGTATTTGACGCACCATTGCGACCCATGACACTCAGCTTGGAGGACCTGAAGGTGGCTGAAGTTCCAAGTGATGAAAGGGATCTGGTTGCGACCAGTCTGAGCCTCTCATCCAGCAGAGGGCAGCACTGGGGCAGCCTCCAGGAGCTACGCAGTTTTGTAGCCAACTGCTTTGAGACTTCACCAGGTCCTGGAGACATGGTGAGTCTGACAAAAATTTTACTTTTACCTATCCTACGTGTTTCTCAGTCGGTATACTGTGGTGAGTTGATACGTGCCACAAGAATTTAAAGTATTCAGTATATATTTTTCTTTGGGAAGTTTGTAATCATTATCCAACTTGCCCTCCCCTTCCTTCCATCAAACCCTTTTCTCAAATATTTTCATTCTACTCATGCATTGCCTTTTCCCCAAACTTGGAACATGAAATATTTCTCTTTGATTCATACCTCATATTCACAAATTATGTAGGAAATTATATAAATATGCAACATGTCACATGAGCATACACATGGATTGGGTACCACTTAAGTACAGATATTCTTGGAAAACTTTCACATAGGGACATTACTAACTAACTAGATGGTTATCGAACCTGAAAGGTCATCACCGAATTAACCAAAGCCCTCCACCGGTGCAGTTTTCTCCACGCCCCATCGTCTTCCCTCTTAGGCCCAAATATCCTCCTCAACACCCTGTTCTCAAACACCTGCAATCTGTGTTCCTCCTCTGAGTGAGAGACCATGTTTCGCAACCAATACAAAACAACAGGCAAGATTATTGTTTTGTATACTTTAAATTTCAGGTTCTTAGAGATCAGACGGGAAGACAAAATATTTTGAACTGAGAAGTAGCAAGCATTTCCAGAATTTAATCTCCTCCTAACTTCCTCATGAGTGTCATTTTGATTTGTTATTGTTGTTCCCAGATATTTGAACTTTGTAACCCTTTCAAAGGACTTATTTGCTACCCTAAGATAATTTTGCCCGCCTGTCTTCTGACCATGAGATACCAACATGTACTTAGTTTTCTCTGAATTTACTTCTAGCCCCACCTGTCTACTAGCCTCTAGTAAAACTTTTGCATTCCTCATTATTGTATTTATGTCGTCTCCAAATAACTTAACATCATCAGCATATGACAATAGCTGATGTGTCCCATTCAATTGCAAACCCTCATCCTTCCATTTTTGTGGCATCTCTTCCTTATCCCAAATTAACTGAATAACCTTATGTGTCTCGGTATGCAACTTTAATTAATTCTGCTGGAATCTGATCAATACCTGGAGATTTATAACTTTTCAACTTCCCAATGACTAGTTCAACTTTGTCTAAACTAGGTTCAGGCACTAACAGTTCAGCTGTGTGTATTTTAATATCTAACATCATCAGTCTCATGAATATTAAAGAACTGATTAAAGAAATTTTTTCACCTATTCAAAATTTTGATTGGATCTCCAAGTGAATTGCCATTTACATCAGCTATTTGTATACTTTGAGACAGCGTATGCATCATTTAACTGTCTCATTGTATTTAAAACTGGTTATTCTACTTAAAATGTGTTTAAATTGAACCTGTAGTATGGTCCGCACAGGTAAGCATTTATTTGCTGCGTTTTCTATTCTGATTGATCTGAAACTAGAAGATGCTGTATCACCAGTGCCTTTCAGCTTTGCTTTAGAATATGCCATGAGGAAAAAGAGGGAACTGAACCTGCTTCTTGTCTACGCTGACTGTTAATTTAATACGCAAAGCATAAGTATCATAAAGAAGAAAACAGGTCTGTCATATGCTATAAAGAAGTTGGTTCAGAAGTAAACACAGAGGAAACTAACTACGTCTTCATGTCTTATCACCAGAGTACAGGACAGATCACTGTATGAAGGAGTCTAATAAATCCCTTGAAAAGTGCAGAGTATTGCGTTCAGAAGGATGTTAAAAGCAGACTCGATTCAGGGAATTGTTTCTACAGTGCAGTTCAGAATTTGTATCTGAAAGTGTAAATATTAAAATATAAAAAAAACTAATTTTACCTGTTGTTTTGTATTGGTGTGAAACAGATTGAGGAGGGCATTTTAGAGCATGGTGGGCCAAAAAGGGATGAAGGAAGAGGTGGTTTATATCGTTATATATATATGAGGAGCTTTGTATCTGTGTTGGCCCTCTGAGTTGTAATACTGTGTGGACTGGTAAATACCAACAATTTGGAGGAACATGCTGTCTCTATCTGCAAGACTGGGAGACAGTATGTTCCTTTGAAACATTCGCATCTACCGAAATACAACACAGTGCCAAATATCATTGTGTTCATCCCTATAGGACAGAGGTTCCCAAAGTGTGGGGCGCCCCCTCTGGGGGATGGTGGTGTTGTTGTTTGTATGAACAACTTTTTTTAACGAAATATGTAGAAACACATTTAACATCCTTTGCTTGGTTGAGGCAGTTTAGTTGTCTTACAGTGATGTATACTCATAGCTAAATTTTATGTCAGATCTGTTTGCTTGTGGTTGGGGGGGGGGGGGGGGGGCGTGAAATTTATGAAATGTTTTAAGGGGTTCGCAAGGTATAAAAGTTTGGGAACCTCAGCTATAGGAACATAAAGTATCACAATTGACACAGATACAATTTTGTTGCAGATATTTTTAATCACCATGTGAATAATTTCGTAAGCCTTGTTTCTTTTTATGCGAATTTGCGTCCCTGTAATCATATAACAACTCGAGAACGGCGAAACGGATTTTCATGAAATTTGGTATGGATGTTATGCCCTTGGGAACGACTCCAAATTTGTACTTTACATTTCCTGCTGTCCGTAATTCTAATTTGATCGATGCTCATCTTTCGCGTGATCACATTACCCTTGGTCTTTCACGGTGACGTCGTTGACAGCCACCAAATATCCCGCCACAGACGCAAATGTCACTGATCTGGCAACCCTGATGTTGCTTGTGCCATTTGCAAAGATCAGACCAGTTTTAACGGAAAGGGTCGAACCCGGGAGCTTTTAAGTACTACACTAGTACGCGAACCGTGACCCAGTTATTGACGAAGGTTAACGGTCAGGGAATTTAGAAAGGGCAATTATTACGCCATTCTTAATTTATGAACATCATAAATTCGTCTGTACGCATGTACCAACTTTAGAACGACCAAGCGGATTTCCACATTTGCTGCTGGACAGTTATACATATCTCAGGGCCGGATATACATTTGTGAGGGCCCTGGGGCAGCCAAAGTGTGGAGGCCTCGGTGAGTAACAACAAATTTAGGTTATGTTGCAATTATTTATAAACAAGAAGTAATTAAGAAAAAGTATCATGTGATCGGTTTCCCGCGATGATTACCTGGACGCTTTTCGCCGTAAAAAGTTGATTTTTTGGAGGCCCCGGTCGCTCCCCCTCCTCAAATCCGACCCTGACGAAGGCAGATGTTTCACTTAATTGAGTTATATTACTGTATCTTCATTTTCTAGTCATTCATAAAAAAGAAACGTCAAATCCTGGCGAACGGATCAGAATTGTCACGACGTACGTGTTTTTCCAAACTTGTTTATCGTTCGCGAAATCTTAGATTTGGTCAGTGAAACGCCCGAAGACTTTCTACGGCGTTCGAGCCCGTGACGCCATATTTTCCAGTGCCTAAAAATGCTGTGGAATCAGTGCACGTGGAGGCAACAGATTCGCCCAGTTGCACCGACGAGTTCGCTCCGTTCTGTGCCATCCCGTCTGTCCTTCGGCACTCATCACGCTTCGTTGCAGCTAACGAGCTGTGTCAAAGGGCGCTGTCACTCTGTGAGAGGGGCGTGGCTACCTCAATAGGCCACTTGAATGCAGTTGGGGCTCGCGATATGACGTTCATAGCCGTTTTCCAACACGAGGTTGACGGAATTGCGCTGTTAACACAGAGAAATTGTGGGAAAGGGTTCATTGTCTGATGTTTTACGGTGGCAGTTTTCATGTTAAGTGGCAAAGATGGTTTAACTTCGGAATTATTGAGTGTTACTGACTGCTGATGTTGAGACTGCTGTGAACATGTTTGGATATGTTGTGTGTGGAACACAGCCGCATCAACTTCTGCTGTCGAAGGTAAGAAAGAGCAGCTGCTAGTGGCACACCTTGCCGTGATTTTAATGTGAGGTGAAGAAAGGAGATGGTGATTAATATAAGTCGCGTCGTTTTTATCGAAGGGGAAGCGATGGATTTTGAAAGAGAGGGAGTGTGTATAGCATTTGAGTAAGGAAACCAGTTGGAAAGTAGCCGCTTGGAAGACCGAGGAGGAGATGGACAGTAACATTAAGATGGATGAAATTGGATTGAACTGGCTCAGGATCGCGGCCTTGATTGAAGCAGTGTTGAACCAGAGAATTTGTTGCGTCTTTAGAGGAGCGAAACACGCTTCCGGCTAACAAATCAAAGAATGCACATTTCATATTATTTGTTGGCAACAACCAGCGACATGTTTCGATCTATTTTCGGTTGCCTTAGGGCCGTGTTTTATAATTCACTCACCAGGATGCGCATCGGTTGTTATGCTGTTTATCCGCTTTGTAATCTGTGATAACATTATGTGTTACTAACAGTTACAGCGTAGTTATTTTTGGGTGAGTTTGTCGTAGAATTACATACAAATTAAAAGTTGCCATTAAAAATGGAACTAAAATTGTCACGGCAATTTCTGTAGAACGTTCTGTTGTGTTTTGAAAAAAGTTCCGAATGAGTTTATTCTTGCGATATTTCATGTTCTCACGGCGATAAATGTGTCTATATTCTCTTAAGACTCGTAAATAGATACAACGTTTCGGAGAAACATATTGTCTCCATTCTCAGGGCATCCGAAACGTTAGTGTGTTCCGTCCGGAGCAACGTCGCTGAATTCACTCTCGGTCCAGTATTGGTCACTTCGTTTGGCAGTCCTGCGCTTAAAAGCCACACTGCTTTCAGGAATGTTTTGAACAAAAGTGGTTCGTAAAGATACGGTTTACGCGTATTAGTTTGTTATTTCTTTTGCATACGGGTTGTGCGTTTATAACGAAAATTGGCGCTGTAAATAAGCGTTTCCACCGCAAAGGAACGTGATTTAGTTGTAAAGCGGATGCTTGGAAGATTTGGAATGTAGGCTGTGTGGATAACATTAATATGGATCTTGTGTAAAAATGTTGTCAGGGTGGGGGCGGGTTCGTGCTGTTTTAACTGCGTACGTCT